GACGAATGAAGGTGTTATGGAATAATGTTTATGGATTAGATTGCCTGGTCATTTGCCTTCGAACTATTTCAGCTGTCAGAATGTTATGGATCTACTGACCAGCGGGAGGCTGAGAGGTGAGTTCTTCATTTAAAGCGTTCTATTCACGCTGATCTCGCCAGACTTCCCTTTAAAGCATGCACGTTACCGAAAGTGGACCGTTAACGTTAGGTGATCTGTGAGTTCGGCTTCTCTCCGGTGGCTTGAATCGCCGGCGTCATAAGTTTAGACGAAGTTGTGGCTTGTGTAGTGAAGGGCAGATGAAGTAGAAGATGGAAGAGTTGATATGCCGGCTTCTTGCGGGGATTCTGGCTCGATTGCTGGCGAGGCAGCTGCTGGAGTTTAGGGGAGAGCGGGGTTCTAGTTGGAGAAGTTGTTGTTATTGTTGTTGATTGTTTGTTCTTCCATGCCAGAAGGTTGAATGATGCTGAAGCGTAGTTTAAATGCTGGAGCGTTTGCAGCGGGAAGCATTCTTCCAAAATGAAGATAGTGCAATGGGGAGAAAGTGATCCATTTATACTAAGCTAGGATCATTCTGATTGGATTATTACTGATTACGGATGAGTGGCCAGCGGTGCACAATCATATCACGTGCTCCTCTCGAAATTAGTTTATGAAACTTCACTAAAGGCTGCAAATGAAAAATGCTTTTCTGAAATACAAAGAGGAATTCCTGCATAGAGGAATGCTGGAATTCATTCATTCATTTTCTTGTCGGCTTAGTCCCTTTATTAATCCGGGGTGGCCACAGCGGAATGAACCGCCAACTTATTCAGCACATTTTTACGCAGCGGATGCCCTTCCAGCCGCAACCCATGTCTGGGAATTTGTGGGAAACATCCACACACACACACATACACACTACGGACAATTTAGCCTACCCAACTTACCTGTACCGCATGTCTTTGGACTGTAGAGCAAACCGGAGCACCCGGAGGAAACCCACGCGAACACAGGTAGACCATGCAAACTCCACACAGAAACGCCAACTGAGCCGAGGTCCAAACCAGCGACATTCTTGCTGTGAGGCGACAGCACTACCTACTGCGCCACTGCTTCGCCCATGCTGGAATTCTTTAGTGTTAAAAAATCTTTGTAATGTTTTATAAAACAAAGATTTTGGGAGGAGCATGCGCAGCTGTTTTGACATTTCTAATTCATCATTGATAATCATTCTATTATCCAATCAGCATAAGACCAAACCCCCATAAATATCAAGCTCGTCCAACCTCCTTTATCCTTTGACTTCAGGATCCCTCCCCAGCATTAGGCCTGTCACAATAATCAATATATCAACTTGTAACACAACCCATGGCGATGACCTCAATCATTTTTGATGATGCAATAACTATCGCTTATACATAAAAAACAATTCTAGCAACATTTTAGCTGATTGTGCAACATCTCTTTCTCTATTGGAGGTGTCAGTATGATTTAAAAAACACTAGTTTTTTTTTTACTATAAATTACTTTAGTATATTATGTGTGTGCCTAACAAGTGAAAATAGAGGTTACTTTTTTCTAATTCTTTATACCTAGCACTTATTTGGTAAATATTATTTATTATTATTTATTTGCTTAGAATATATCACATTCTGATTCCAATGCCTAATTATTAAATTGTTAAAATGACTATAATTCAATGAAATATTCTTAAGAATAAAACATTGTGTTCTTTGAAAGTGTACGTGCATCTAGTATTATGTGAGTGGCATAAAATGGTCTTGTAAACAAAAAAAAAATGCATACAATTATTATAATATTATTAATTGCAATATATCATACAACAAAAAATAGATATCGTGACAGGCGATACCTCTTCTTTAAAACCAATCTTTAGTTAAACCAGGGGAAACGTTCAGAGGCCAGGCTAAACACTGCACACGAACCCCAATCTTTGAGTTACTAATTAATGTATAAAAAAAAATAAATAAATGTTTGCAAGTGTGCTGGAAAAAGACGATCAGTCAGGAGAAATGAAACTGAACAATCTTTCTACAATGTTTCAGGTTTCTCCAATGTGCCATTATTCATGTTTCCAGTTGTAATGAGGATGAAATTGGATGTGTATGGTAAAACTTATAATAGTTCTGTTTTTAACTGCAACTTTAAATAAATTCACTATATTTCCATACCTGATAGCATGACACCTCTGAAAATGCATACATCTCAATTTTCAAACAATTACACTGACTCTTTTCGTGGTCTAGTGTCTCAAATGTGTCTTTGCTTATGCTCAAAAATGTAAACACAATGTTAGTGTGAGAAATGCATAAATTAAGCACTAGGAGGCAGCCTTCTTCGAAAGTGTCATCATCAGTGTGGCATTACAAGATTCAGATGCAGAAGACTTCAGCATCAAGAAAAAGGCAGCAGAGAGGAAACTGAGAGCTATACAGAAACACATTCATTTGAAAAGACAAAAATATAAATGATGGAAAAACTGCTCATCATTGCACTTTTCATCACAGCACAGGAATTTGGTAAGTAAGATCATCATTTACTCTTTAATAAATGTTTATAATATGATTTGTATGTAAATAGATGTATTTTTTAGTGTGCAGGGGACAGAACAGAGTTGAACAACCTTCAAGAGAAATGACGGCAGATAAAGGAGATACAGTTACTCTGCCGTGCAACTATTCTGTCACGACCACAAATGCTTATCTCTTCTGGTACAAACAACTTCCAAACAGATCGCCAACATTCATGCTAAGTGCATTTACAGTTGGCAAAGGAACTACTGAGGATGAGTTTAAAGAGAGATTTAACGCAACACTGGATAAAACATTAAGAACGGTTCCTCTGCTGATCCAGGATCTGCAAGTGTCAGACTCTGCTGTGTATTACTGTGCTTTGCAGCCCACAGTGACTCAAACACGCTCAACACTCACACAAAAACAGGGCACAAGAGTTTCAAAACTCCCTCTGTAGTCTGTTAGTGGTATAATCCCAGAATCATACAACATCTTAAAACAAATGTTCTGCACTCTTTCCTGTTCCTGGAATAAACAACTTTAATCAGTCACATGATAATTAATCATATTAAATATTAAGAACACATTTCAGGTCACAACTCAATTTTCTTACACTGAAGCTAACTATTTAATGTGCCATATAATGAAAAACTGCATACCATAGCAAAGTAGAATAATAAAAGATTGGTATGCGAAAATGGGCATAATGTGAGCCTCATACACCACTGTTTCCTCGTTCTCATGTAAAACCCTGGTGGACAACAGGGCAATCAGAAGAAAAAACAAACTGTGATGAGACTCACAGGCCATGTCCTCCTCATTTGCATGTACGCATAATTTAGGTGATTCATCCAGACCTGAGGAGCAGCTGTAGTCACCATGAGAATTCTGTTTCTAGGAGTAGTAAATAAGCTTATTAATCAGTTTCTGGAGATTTTTTTTAACTGACCGAAGCAATAAACCTACTATGTAGATAGAGAACAATTTAACATATTAAAAACCAATGCAGCATATGGCACCTTGAAATTAAACCTCAGCCTAATACATCTGTTCAGTCAAGAGGCCAACTATTTCAGGGTTTCTGCGATTTTCATATTTAAGACTTTAAGACAGTTATGAATTCATCAGACTTAGGCTGCACATACACTGCATGGTTCAAATGACTCAATTCAGATTTTTTTTCTCCCATGTGGCACAGATCGGATTTGACCCATGCACATGTAAGCTGGAAAAAATAAATAAATCATTTACTATTTACTCGAATCAGATTCAGGTCTTGTTCACATGTGGAAATTTACCAGATACCTATCAGATCTGTGCCCTCGTGTCTGCAGTGTAAGCACTTAGACCGGAATTTCACCTGTCAATGCAAGTTGCACGTCATTTAAAACCATAGGGAATGACGTCAAGTCGGACACTTTCATTTCAGAACAGTCGCAAACTTTAAATCCCATACATGAGGACTAAAAAAGCTTTTATATTGTCATGTAGCACAAAAATTTAAGCATGTTAATGAGAGCGAGAGAGCGCAATATCTGGCATGTAACCAATATAAACGAATATAAAACTATTGCATACATAACATACATAAATCATGCCATGGACATTACATGAAAATGCCTACTGTTTTAAAAAGGCTTAGATTAAAAGAAGATGGCCAAATGAGAACTTTTCTATCATAAACTACAGTAAAACAACTTGTCAAAAAGAAATTTAAAAAATGAAACCCTGCGAACAGATTAAATACAGGAATGGAGAAAAGTAATTGTCAGTCAGCACCCCCTCTATTTTCCTGGTCATTGCCGTGTGCTGTGTAAATGCAGACAATTGAATATGAGTCACTTTTAAATGATGTAAGCTGGTCAACAACAACAAAAAAATTGGATACAGTCACAAAATCGGAATTGGCCATCAAGATCTGCAGTGTAAATGCATCCTTATACAGGGTGAAGTGCTGAGATTTTCTTTCTAATGGCCAGTGGAAAATATTTTTACCCGCCCCATTCAAATTTACATTTAGTTAAGTTTAATTTCTTAGCCATATGATTTAAATAATGTGTCAAAACAAGCTAAGGTTTACTTTTTCCAAGCATAACTTTTCTTTAAAAAATACTTTTATTACACATTATAAAGCTCTGCATGGAAAAAGAAAAATTAACATTTTATTTTTTTTAAATATAAGATATTTTAAGACCTTTAAGACCCTGCAGACACCCTGTACTTTGATAATGTAAAAAATGGTATCAGCACAGCAAACGTCATTAGTTTATTTATCATTCACATTTGTATTTTATCTTGTAGTTGCAAAGGCTTAGAGTTTTTAATTGATGACGGAGCAGAAATGAGGATTGTTGATAGTGTCATCACACAGAAAGCAGGAAGTTCAGAGTGTGTTTGTGTGTATGTGAAGCTGCAGAGACTCACAGTTACACAGATCTACAACTCAGAGAACATCTATACACACACCTGATCTGACCTGTAGACATGGAGAAACAACTGATGCTCATTTTAATTCTGACTCCAGGTACAATAGCACTCTTGATTCATCACAGTGAGGTTAATGAGATATGCTGAGGTCATTTTGTTTAAAGTAACAGCAAATAATACTTTTTTGTTTCAGGTGTGATGACTGCAGACCAGATTAGGCCAAATAAAGAAGCTTTTACTGTAAAGGAAGAGGAGACTGTGACCTTCAGTTGCTCATATGAAACAAGCAGCAGCTATGTTTGGCTTTACTGGTACAGACAGCATCTTAACGGAGAACCTCAGTATTTAATCTTTAAACCTGCAAAATCAGCTTCTGTAAGTGGAGATCCAGTTGATCGTAGGTTTCAGTCGAGCACATCAGACTCATCCACTGAACTCACTATTAGCGGTGCAACTCTGTCAGATTCAGCTCTCTATTATTGTGCTCTAAGAGTTGGAGCCCAGTGATACAAAGTATACGAGAAGCCGAACAAAAACTCTAATAAATGTTTCACTTTGATGACAAACCACATCACAACCACAATCTATAATGCACAAAATATAATTTCACTTGTGGAAACACCTGGATGTGGTTACCGAAAGAGTAATGAAAAGGAAATAAAAAAACAGAAGAATACTTCCTACACTACATCACAACCAACTAGATTTTACTAAACCCCACTATTTGATATCTCCTGCAATTAATGTCTCGAAGTCTGCCTGAGACTTTTTAATAGGCTTGGGCGGTATTACGGTATTATGGTATACCGCGGGATCTAAAAATAGCAACGGTGTCAGTTTCAATACCGTTATACCGTCATTAAATATTAAATATCCTTTATTTAATGCCTACAAAAACGTATGTGTGGTTGTCATCACGGAACAGTGTGGAGGAGAGAGGGAAAGGAAGGGGGAGAGGGAGGGAGAGAAGGGGGAGAGGGAGGGGGAGAGGTGACGTGACGAGTCGCGCTTCAAAGTGTCCTGCAGTTTGGGAGTTTCGACTGAACAGAAGGGAGACGTGGTTAATATGAATGAGAGGTCTGCATTAGAGCTAAAGATCTTTGCCCGAACCCGGCGAGACCCGAAAAAATCCAAATCCCTGCATTAAAATCCATCCCTGCAAAGATGAAACAAATGATGATGAAGTAGTAAAAAAAGCGAATTTTGACGGCGGTCAAGTCAGTCACTAGCTCAGAAGGAGCGGTTATTCCAGCCGCAGGTATTTTGCGGTCGCTCATACACTGCGTATTACGGTAGAGCCCTAAACCGCAAGCTGACAGGTAAAAAGAAGAGGCCATTCGCTAAAGTGAAACTGCTGTCATGGAAAATTAAATGCATGTTCCTGACTGGTAGAAGATGAACAAACAATCCTACCAAAAACTTGCAAAATCAGCCAGATCAGAACTCTGCATCTCGACCTGTAGCCGCAGGAAAGGGTGTTCAGTTCTGCTGGACGCACCATGAGTGAGAGACTGCGCTAAAGCCAGTGGATTTAATAATGTTCCTCCACAAACACACGTAGCCTAATCTTGGTGCGTAAAGGGTTTTTAAATTATAAATAAATATTAATTAAACCATATAATCATAATGTAGACAGAGTATACAGACTAATGGTGGCATTATTCTTTTATTATTCAGCTTCACCGTCGCCTTAATGCCAGATTGTGAAGAGAAGTGGAGAAACACATCTTGCAGAGCCCTTATCTTAATTTCGCTATTGCCAAAATACCCGTCATCATTTAGAGTTTATTTTAATTTGATTTGTGAAGCAAGATTTCTTTTCATTGGTGTGTAGGCTAATTTAAAGGCTAAGTGCATGTACCTAGACCTATAGAGTGCTGAGATGTTACAGCTGTAGGACTTATTTTATTTCTTTGTTCCAACTTTCAAGTGGCCTATAGTCTACGCTTGTTACGAATAAATGATGTTAACACATATAAATTACTCATTCTTGAAAAAATGCATTAGAGCTGTGTGCATGAGCACATTTTAATGTAGGCTATGAACGGGTTTGGGCTGTATAAAGCTGTCAATCAAAATGTACCTGTCGGACTCGGGACCTATCGGGTATAACTGCTGTTCCCCGGGAGCCGGCCAGATTTCTTACGGTGTGGGAGTAAATTTCTGAATAAATCGCGGGAGAGATGTGTGTGTGTGTGTGTGTGTGTGTGTGTGTGTGTAAAATGGAGAGAGAGAGAGAGAGAGAGAGAGAGAGAGAGAGGTGCTGTGCATCGCTTTGCGCTCTCTCTCTCTCTCTCTCTCTCTCTCTCTGACCGCGAGCCTAAGGTCGCATAGAATGTATTCAGTTTCTGAATGGTTTAGGCTTAAGCCAACAGTTTAGTGACGCTGTCTGAGCCTTACGTCATAATTTTTTTTATTACGCCGGTAATACCGGATACCGGGGTAAAATATGGAGGCGGTTTGACGGTATCAAAATTTGGATACCGCCCAAGCCTACTTTTTAATAAATGTGATTTTACTTGCTAATCAGTAGGGCCGGACAGAAACTGCAGACATTTTTTTCTATTTCTTTGTAAAATTTTGTAAAAAAAAAAAAAAAAAAAAAAAAATCTGTGAATTTATGCTGAATGATTTTGGGAGTATCATTACTAAAAAACTAAATAAATGAAATCATTCCTTTTTAAAAATAATACCCTTTTAACATTTAATGTTTACAATGCAAATCCAATTAGATTTACATATTTGGTAAACAAAATAAGTCTTATATATCTACTAAAAACAGAAAATATTACTTTACAAACTGTACTGTAAATAAATCATATGAACATTTTCATATTAGTCAATAACATTACAGAAATTATTTAAAAAACTGACTAAATATAAATTTACACACATTTAAACAAGTAAATAAATAAACTCAATGATGTGCTAAAAATTCAAAATCAGTTACACTGTTTGCGAATGATGACTTGTTGTGATTTTGCGATCCTGAATTACCTTCTATGTTGATTCTAAAACATCATCCCTGTGCAAAAATGTAATCCATACCTAATCCTTACCCCTAAACCTAACTTTAAATTATTCTCAAAATTAAAAAATTACATTTTCTAGTCATCTTAACTTAACAGTATATCAATCAAACTGACTAAAATATGAATAAATTAAACTTTGTATAACTTATTTTTTTATGAAATTGAATATTAAAATAAGTTAAAGCAACATAAAAAAATGGTTGTCTTTGTCATCAATTATTTTACTGCGTAATTGTAAATCGAAACTGTAACATAAACTCTAAGCATATCCCTAAAAATCTGATTGGCTTACTGGAATGTTGTTCCAGGATCAACATAGATCTTAGTCAAGAAACATTAATTTCACACTGTAAATAGGGTGAACTGAATTTAAATAGCAAAGAAAGTTTTATTTAAATAGTTCAGCTCAGCAAAATCTGTTCAAACTCACCACAAGGAGGCAGCATTTCACAAAATCTTCACAAGGCGGGACTTTAAGAAGAATCTGAACTACAAAGCCAAACTGAGACTATACAGTCAGAAGAAAACACTGTTGTTAAAATATTCCTCATTTTTATGTTGACATGACAATGCAGGAATTAGTCAAACTTGTTATTTTCTTCACAGTTTATGTATTGGGTATGTAAATCATTTTTTACACTTTCTTCATTTGAGATACTATAATAATGAGTAAATGTTTTTCTCCAGTGTGCCGGGGATCATCAGACAATGTTGAACAACCTTCAGGACAAATTACAGCAAATGAAGCAGATTCAGTTCATCTACAGTGCAGTTACTCTACAACTTTCACAAACGCTTATCTCTTCTGGTACAAACAACTGCCAAACAGATCACCGACTTTCATCCTGAGTGAATTTACCATTGGTGAAGGAACTACTGAGGATGAATTTAAAGGGAGATTTTCAGCAACACTGAATTCAACATTAAAATCTGTTCCTCTGCTGATCCAGGATCTGCGAGCGTCAGACTCTGCTGTGTATTACTGTGCTCTAAGGCCCACAGCGATGACAAAACATTTCACTCTCATACAAAAACATTGAGATCTACTGATAACCAATCCTGTTATCATACTTCACAAACACCAAAAATATTATAAATCACCAAAACAGAGAACATTTTTATCACAATGTGAACAAAATTAGACAATCCTCTTTTCTTAAACATTGTCTTGTTTATGCAAAAATGAAAACAATACTGTGATTTACTAATACTCCAGTTGTTCTTAATCTTTATTTCTTCAATAAAGTCCGTTTGATTGCAGTTGTGTAGATGCAAATAAATCATTAGACATTTCTCAGTTATCTTGTTTCACTGAAGTTTCTAAGAGAACTTAGAAAGGTTTATGTTGAATTTAAAATAGATTATTAAATACAGAGAAATAGAATAAATTTGTAGTATTGCACTACTTTAATGCACAGTATTAGAAAACTTGCATAACGTATGATTATGTATTTTGTATGTTCTTCTGCAATGTTTAATCTGCACTTCCAAATAATTAAGTGAAATATAAGAGAATGCTGAAACGTAATGCAAAATATTCTGCAACACTGACACTTAAAAGGGATACCCCAAAAAATGTCTTTGACATACATATTATTTTGTTTCTACTATCTAATCTCGATTCGACCCCCAATCATATTTTCAAGTTCAGGAGAGAAGAAAAGGCGGCTGCACGAGTCTTTTCATTGTTTCACACACGTTGCTCAGTGACATTGACACCTCCAAATGATGTTGAATGAGTCACATAATGTACTTGTAAGGTATAATTCACCTAATAATGTCATTTTTGTCTTCATATAATGATGTTTTTGCGGCCGGGAAAATCACACGTGACGTGAGCTGCTGACTGTGACTTGTTATAGAGAGGGCGCTCGCGCTCTACTTAATGATAGACGTGCGCGTCTACTTTAGTGAACAGAACCTGCATATGTTGCGAGTAACAGGTAATACAGTTGTAAATAATATTCTGTTTGTGGCACAGAGTGATCGTTTGGGAGCTGAGCGCAAAGTATGAACAAGCACTTAGCAGTCAAAATGAAACTGAAAGTGTGCACGTCATTAAATGATCATATCGCATTTTAGAGTAATGATTACGACAAGCATTTGAAATGTTTTTTCTTTCATAGTGAGCCCACAGTTGTGCATGAAAATAAATGTTTATAATGTCAGTATAACTACTCTAGCCTATATATTGTTGAATATAATCTGATAATGGCAAATGTCTGATTTACCAGAGAATAAAATTGTCTAATATGACAGATTGCAAGCATATATCTCAAACATAATAATTCAACATCAGAATTATTATAAGTAGAATAGAATTATTTATAGAAACCAGTAGACCAACACATAATATTATTATCGATGTTGTGCCATATGTTTGTTGTTGCCATACCTTTATTTTACATCTACAGAATCGTGAGAAAATCGTGATCTTTATATTAAGCAAAAAAAATAAAAAATCGCGATTCTCAT